GACTTTGGTATGTGTAAGGACTAAGGAGTCTGCGTGAGGTTGAAGGACCAAGATGTGACTTTCGTGACTTTAAAGCCAAATGGGAAATCGCCGAAGTCCAGTTTTTAACTCTTGTGCTAAAGCATTTTGTGGGAAGTCTAGTAATTGGGCAAAATAAATTGGGTAATCTTGTTCAAGTCTAAGTTTCAATACACATGTACATGTATTCCATTTATAGATGTTTCACATTTGTAGAATGCAAAAATACAAATTGTTACTATTCTTAATAGAGGATGATTATGTAATGAATGAGCAATATGAAACTATCGACTGTGTTCAATTAGGCCCTGACTAGCATGACTACACACAACTAACAGAAGTAGTCATTAGGCAAGTCATGAGTGTGCCTATTTTTTAATGACGTGAGATGATGAAACAAACCTGTGGGTGCCAAATGCGTTGGATAGGAAACTATAAGTGTGTGTGCCATTGTAAGCTGTTTGAATGCTAAAGAGTTGCTTACCGGTAAATCAAAGTAATTATCCGAATGCAGAAATAGAATGCGCTCTCGCCGTGTGATATGGTTTTCACCTTTGTTGATGTTGATCTGGATCTAGGTTTTTTGAAATTTGCTTTTCATAATTAACATAATCTTTATTGGCATTTTGGATTTTGATTTGAGAAAAACAGACGCAGTATACAGTTCATTAAGATCACAGAAGGCCTCATAGCAAAATTAATTCATTTTGTGGAGCTGAAATAAATGTGAAATCTTTTGTTTATTTTGACATTGTTATCTCAAAATCTTTCAACTGTAGAAGTGAAATTATTTCAGTTTTGTCACCCACCCAGATTCTCAGGAATCCTCAAGATATTCCATGTTTTTCATTTGTATTTTACCATACATTTTTTTTTTACTATATAAGTTCAATTATTGTCTCTTATCTCAGCAGCAAAACATTTGAATAATAGTACACTGATTGTTTTTCATCAGTATGTGGGTTCTTGGATCAATATTTTTTCCTGCACAGAAAATAGCAGTCAAAGATTTTAAGGATAAGAGCTGAGCTAGTCACATATAGAAAATTTTCATATCTTGAAGCCTTCTGAGAAAAAAAAATTGTCTCTGTAGCAACTGTGTGATATCGCCAAGGTAATATAGGATACCTAGATAATAGATATACATGTACAGTGTTGTATTTACTTTTTAGACACCCTGTGCAATCCATGGGCCTTTGATGCATAATACTGTATTGTTTGTATTTTCTTCTCCTTCATAAATGAGATTTCCCATGAATACAAAATTTGTATGTTGACTATCATTAGGATGAGCAATCTGCAGTGAATGCTTTTTCTGAAGAATAGTAGTATGGTACATGAAGTAGCAAATGATGTGCCTCCTTTGTGACTTCCATCTTTGTATTCTGCAACAGGTTCTATGGTGTATTGAATATCTTCTTACAGCGGGCAGGTACATGTGTATGCTCTAAAAATGGAATAAATACATGAACATTGTGGGCGGAGGTATGTTTGTGACAAATTATCATGAATTTATTTATGTGTAAATAAACAGTTTTGATGTAAATGCATACTTGTTTGAAGGTTTGTTTGTTGTTGTATGTATCTTTTAACAGGAGTTTCCACTATACATGTATTAAATATAAATGAAATCTGCTTAAAGGTAAAGACCAGTATTGGAAATGCCCCAATTTCAAAAAATGAAATGGAAGCTCTCATTACCAATCATGTGAAAGAATATGTTTTGACTAATACATGATGATAAAAAATTTGCCGGGAAACCGCCTACTAATTCATATATTTGGTAAATTTGTTTCTTTCATGGTCTGTGAGAGATATAGGGTAGTCCCATATACATCTTTCTGTGTATAGTGCTTGTAACTTTACGAAGAATGGGCCAAATTTCTTATCATTTTGATGATTCCAGAACCTTGCAGATGCTAGATGCTAGATGATCAACCTTTTCTGATCGATTCCACAACATTTCTTTCACAATGCAATCGCATGACCATAACTGGTCTTTACCTTTAACACCTCTGGTGAAAACGCAAAAGTGAGTAATGAGCCAGGAGTGATTTAAAATAAATAAATAAAAGAGCAGTTCTAGAAGAAGAAGAATATGTGGGGATGGGGGGTTTCCTTGATCTTGCCCCTCTAAAACTTTAATTTTAAAGTCAATAATATAACTTAATACCAGGATAGTTTTGTTAATTATAGTTTACATTCTGTTGATCTGAACGACCGATCTATTGTATGATAATTTGCAATTACTGAATTCATGCAGTTTCTCTTGAAATGTAATCTCTTGTTAAACATTACCATCTTATTTGCTTTCAAGAAGAAATCTATTAAAATTTGAACAATTTCTGGACACACAAATATTACTAATATGCAAAGAAATACACATAAATAACTTTTATTGTCATTTTTCTAAAGAAAAAACATGAGAAAACATATTTAGAAACTTTCTACATTCTTGCTTGGTCATTCAATAATATAAGTAAATGTACATGGCATGAGCATTAATTCTGTTGATGGTCTAGCAAATTTACAAAGAGCAAAACTAGAGAAACATATTTTACTCTTGTCTGTTGAACATGCATGCTGATACGATTAAGACTTAATTGTATACTACAAATGGATTCAAACCCAAAAGCCAGAATTCACCAAGGAGGTTTAAAGCTAACCCAGGGTTGGAATCTTCATTTACATAGCCCATGGTCTAAAATTAGTGCAAAATAAGCGCGGTACAGTCATAGGTCCAATATTAGAAGGCGCAAGGCAAGGTATGCTTATTTTGCGTTAATTTTAAACTGTGGGTTATGTAAACGAGAGTTTAAACCATGGGTCAAATCTAAACCTCCTTTGCGAATTCGGGCCAGGGTGTTTACTGTTTATAAAAGGTGCAACACGTGACTATTCCAGAATTTCAAAATTACAATCCATTAGTGAAAGAATATATATACGGTATAGGTTTTGAAGCAATGAAACCGCTAATTAACATGAAATCAGGGAAAATGTTGGTTTAACACATTCCGATTTATATACATGTATTTATACCTCATCTGCCCCCCCCTTTCCCCTTCTAAATTACATATTTTGTACCACCCCACCCCCCCCCCCCCAAAAAAAAAAAAAAAAAAAAAAAAATGCCCTTAATTTTTGTAATTCACCAATAGTTCAGACAAATACTGTAGTCCTTTTTCCATAGCTATTGGGGTCCTCGACAAATGGGACAGAAAACATATTTTTATATAGATCTTTTCTTGTGGAATCTGGAACTGTCTTGCATACACATTTGTTGTCTGTTCATAGCCAGACTGGTGTTAATTCTGTGTTAAAAGTATATTAAATCAAGTCTAAGCCATTCTGGCTAAAAATGTATGATTTGATGGTGAATAGACAAGGATTTAAACATGACTTTTCTCTAACAAATTACAGCACCTTTGTTTTAAAAGCTAGATGTGTATTAATTCTATGACCCTAAAAGTAGATCAGATTATTACGATGCTTACTAACCTCAACAACCTATGATAAAAAAGGTTTTCTTTCTTATCTTTTATAAGAGAATAAATGTGCGAAATGGCAAGTGGTTATTGCAGGAAGTCAAATGCTAATTTGAAGTATTACGGTACATGAATTATAGACAGCAATGACTCTCAGAACATGCACACAAAAAGTTAACATATACATGTTCCTCCTTTCAACAAGAGCTTACATGTTCAACTATATAGTCTTAACACATTTCAAAAGATTATCAGTTGACCAACTAAGGCAATAGTATGTTTACAATGTTTCCTTTACTTTTTAAGGAGTCATGGAGTATTACTGGTCAATTATACATGTACATGTACTTCTTATCCTGCCTTATAATTACTGTGATGACTTCTCCAAGAAGACACAGGCATTCAGTTTCTAAAATAAAAAGATGCTAGTAAACACAAAACATAACCACACATATTAAGAATGGATACTATTTCTATAAAAGAGAAAAGAATTACACCAATATACTGGTAATCCATGTAAAGAATGATCAACACCTTTCACACAGGTTGCCTATTAAGCAAGAATTGTTCATTTTGGTCTTTCTCTTTGGTTCACCAGCTCAAACTAACCAATAAAATCACCTACATGTAGGGCCATTTGCTTATATTTTACAATATATGAAATTATGAACCCAAAGTTTAAATCAGGTCCCAAATACACAATTCTGATTGGTTGTAATTCAAGTTGGGGAAAAGCTTAATTCATCAAGGAACAGGTTCCTGCTAAGTTCAACTCTTATATATATTGTAAATAATAATTGGCATCATAAACAAAATATCATTAAACAAAATATCTGAAGAAGACAATCTAAAACAAACGTACATACATCAAACAATGTTTCCATTACATATACAGCAAGAAAATGAAAAACATAATAATACATAATACTTGAACATGTACAATCAGAGTTAATCATTACATATATGGTGGTACAATCACTATGTTACAAATGCTTGGAAACAGAAAACTTCCATGAATGTGTACAAATAGAAAACATTTCTTCTCAAATCTGACATGTATGGAAGAGGCAAAAATGTAGAGTGTCGGCCATAACAACAACAACCTAAAAACAAATACAAATTAGAGATCGGAGTATACTCCACAAACAAATAAATTCCTTACAAAACATGCACGTTTAAGCAGCTAAATGCCTCAACTGTAATGTTGTTTGGGGTTCTTTTCTTCTTTTACATTTACTCTTGGCATTTTTTATTTTTACCTACACCCCGACCAAGTAAGTAATAACAATACCAAGAATGAATTAGTTTACACATATTTACAATTATATAATGATGCACCAACGGCATATTCAGTTATCCTTCAAATAGGAAAATTATTAGTATCTTTACATTTTATCTTCATGTAAGTACATTTACAGTGTACATTTTTCATGCACCTTTTATGAAGACAACTCAACTTCCCTAAAACCTATCAACTCTGATTGTTATACATTTTTCTATGATAAATCATACTTTTACCAAATTTTATAAATACATGTCCAAGACCTTGGATTCTAGAATTTTTGTGCCAACAATACAGTACTCCCTTAAGCAAGATAACCTTAAATAATACAGCAAATGCATACCCTAGCTCTCAATGTATATCTCAAAATAACTCAAATGATGGAACAAGCTAATACGATGAACCAAAAAAAGAAAATGTCAAGTCTCTGACTCGCTGGTAGCACTTTTTAACTTTAATAGCTTTAGCTAAAATGTACCTTGTTCAATTACCTATTAGTTTTCTTTATTTATTTCCCCTACCCCATTCCATATACACTTCCACACCACAAAGAAAAGCATAGGAAATAGCAAATTCTAAAATATTTGCATGATCTAAGCTATTGAGAGGTTAGCCATAATAATGTCTAGCATTTTATAATGAAATGTAATTTCACATTTCTTTAACATTGAGGATAAGGCATAAGTATACAAAACTCAAAGGAAGCAAGTTAGCTCAGTCAGTAAAAGCGCCTCCATGTTGAACAAAAAGTCATCGGTTCAGGTCTAAACCAGGTAAATGACTGCAGCCTGTGTTGTGTGTAAATGTGCCCCTCCCCTATTTCAAAGACACATGCTATGTTAATTTATGTAACACTCTGTCCCTCGGATAGGACATTAAAGAGAGGCTCCATGTAGAGGAGAGTCACTACCTTTCCACATTAAGAACCCACTGCACTATTTGAATAAGAGTAGGGGGAAACCCCAGTGTAGTGGTCCACCCGCACAACCCCAATCATTTATATTTGGAGAGACAGAGGGTCAGTGATTCAGTTCACTTTTTTTCCTCCCAGGCACAGGTGACACCAAAATACTTAATAATAATAATTATAATTATTTAAAAGAATTCAATGCCTGAGAAACTATTATTGCCGTCAACACAACATCAATTTTCAATACCAATCCCAGACATACACTGTATACCCAATCCTGAAACAAATCATGTGTATAAAGACTCGCTGATGAGCAAATGAAAACAAACATTCTTTACAGAATTTCACCAAGAAGATGTCATGTGTTGCACATACATGTACCATGATAATTACCATACTATTTCAAAGTGAACGAAAAAGAGATAAGTTTTGATAACTGAATTTACCTAGGGATGTGTTCAATCCTTTGCAATTTATGAATGGAATATATAAGAACATGGGCAATTAGGAGACAAAACCTGTGACAGGCTACTTTGCCATATCAATAACACAGGAGGGCGTTTCACAAAACTTGTCATCAGTGACAAATGACAGTTTTTGTTATAAGCTACTGAAATCCTTGCTTCTGATTGGTTATCAGCAGATTTGTCACTGATATTTTTCATTTGTCATTGAAAAAAGGCTTTGTGAAACCGGCCCCTGATCTGTAGGTTACATGTAGACCGACCTAGCAGCATCATGTAGCATCCTGTAGAGGTCAACCCACAAGAACAAACTGTACAGTGTACCTGATATGCATGAAGAGAAAGAGAGAGAGAGCACACACAGTGGTACCACATTAATTCTGTACCGCTGCATCATTAAACGATATACCACCTGCTTTAAGGGAATGATTGAAAATTGAAATGCAGCCCAGAGATGTATTTGAGAATTGAGATTGCACAATGATGATCTGAGATGAATTTTGGGGAGATTATATATGTACATGCAGAACATTCAACGATTCAGCCAAATGTAATTCATGTACTATGTTATTAAAAACTTTTCACTTTTTTTCTCTTCAAAGGCCAAGTCCATTCCAAAAATAACTTACGGTACTTATAATAGAAGCAGAAAAATCAGACAAACCAATCAAAGATAGATTGAGCAAAATCGGATGACTAATAAGAAAGTTATTATTTTTTAATGACATGAAAAACAAATTGGCAACTCACTCATGAGTCTGTGACGTCATTGCCTCACTATCCAATAATTGTTTTCTTTATATTGATAATACAAATTTCCCATTTCCCCCTAAGAATATTATTTCCTAACACCAGCATCCAAGTTATATTGATAGTAATAAGTTTTGTGTGGATGCACTAATATGAGTTATTTTTTCAGTTGAATCATGAAAAATGTGAATTTTGATATTATTTAAAATAAGAACCAACAATTATGAATATATAATATTCAGAAAATAGTATCAATACTTCAGAAGCAATTTTTAAAATTAAAGGTTGATTGTATAATCCGTTAAAAGGTTCTCAAAATATCGTGGTTACAAGCTATTTTTCATATACATATGACCCCTTGACTCCCAAAATCTGATCAGTTCATTGGCTCTGCAAGATACATACATGACCCAAGTTTCGCGGGCATCTATCAATCGGTTCTTGAGATAACGTGATCACGAGAACGGGACGTATGGACTGACAGGCACGGGCGGACGGACAACCCAAAATTATAATGCCTCCGACAAATTCGTAACAGAGGCATAATGAAATATCTGTTTGAGGTGTAATGAAAAATTCAGAGATTTAATTCTCATCAAGTAACAATGAAAATGGAGTGTCACTTACGCAATTCATCTGCTCTAAAAAATAATTTTTTTTTTTTTTTATACCTTTGGTCCGGCAAAGAATTTTTTTTGTATCTTTCTTTTAGCGCTATCTTGAAATTTTCCAATCAATGAATTTGTTTCACTTTTAAAGGCAGGCTTTACTACTTCAGCAAGAAGGGATTAGACCACTCATCGAGCCAGCAAGGTCACTGTGACAGGTGGCTATCTCATTAACTCAGCTCTCATTTAACATAAGAAAAAAAAGGATCATGGGGGACCAACAGGCACCGATTGGGGAGGTTTTTCTATATAGAGGAAGCAAGTAGCTACAAGTAGGACAATGTGCCTTTAAGACTAAATGCATGCATACCTGACCAATTATCAGTCCTCATCAGAGTCCAGAACAATCACATCTACCAGCTTAGAACCGCCCCTTTCATTCTTCTTGGTGTTGGGTACATTTAGGTAGGATATCCACTCCATAGGCGTTCTCTTGACACACTTCTTAGCACGATGGTGCGCCATATGAGTAGGAGCTTTGGTTTGGTAGTTGCAGGTTTTACATGTCAGGGTGATTGTGCCATCGTGATTCTTCTTTTTAGAAACTATACCAAGTTTGGGTGGATCCCGACCTATCTTGTGGAAGAGAATCATGTGGTTGCTGACAGATCTGGGGCAGTACGACGAATAGGGACACTTGTCACAACGCAGCTGGATTGTAAAATGACTGCCAAAATTGGAAAGAGAAGACCACACTCCATACAAGCTAGTTTCTTGTTGAGTGAAGCCTGCTGAGTGAAGCCATACTTGATTTCAACTTTCTTTGGACTGATTGTATGTGTTGGTGGTAAGTTGGTGACTCCAGCAGAAGCCATGATCTCAAGAGATTTCAGAGTATCACGCACATACCTTGGCACCCCGTCTCTGTCTTTATAATCATACTTCCTGTGATCTTTATCTAGATGCTCGTTGCGTTCAATCGTTGACAAAAAGGACAGCTTACAATTCTTGCAAGGATATACGCCGGAACCTGTTGCTCGCATTGCCAACTGGATGTGTCTCTGACAATGTTGGAGAAAAGTCTTGCTACAACGGAGCATCTTCAGGCAGTACGGACACATGAGAGCCTTGTATCCTTCATGTTTCAGAGAGAAGTGCTCAATTATATCAGCGTAGGCAGAGGTACGGTACTGACAGATGCGGCAGCAAAAAGGCATCTGTGCAACACTATGGAACATGTTCATATGCTTCAGCAGCATGGAAATGTTACTGAAGGACAGGTCACAAGTGAAACATTGGTACATTGATCCCTTCATGTGAGAGCGTTCAAGGTGTTCCTGCATTTCAAATGGGGTACGGAAACGTTTGAAGCACTTGGGGCACACAACCATAGAAGCAAGCGATGTCTTGTTTGCCCACAAGTTCTCTGCAATCTTCTTGACATGTGTAGCATACTGCACATTGCTAGCCATAGTTTCCTCGCAATGGAAACACTTGATCTTGAAGCGCTTTGAAGCATCCTCAGTTTGCACCAAGTTTCCTTTCTTCATAGGATAAAATACAAGTAGATCCTTGGAATCCACTGTCGCTTTGGGCGTTTGGTTTCAGCAGTCAGAGCAGTGAGAGTGACTTCAGCTGGTCTTTTGACCCCTCTTGAGACATTCTGTGTGGCAGGTTGACGTTGAATAGGAGCTGAAACATTCTGAATTGACTGTTTCATGTAAGTTTGGAGGCTATCGGTAGGAATGTTAACAACCCGCTGCTGATTATTCACAGTCACCCCAGGTTGAACAACTTTGGTTGTTGCTTGAGCAATGCCATTATGTATCACATATGAACCTGGACGCATGACACCTGGCAGTCTGTTTGTTTGCTGTGATGCACTCAACGTCATCTTGATCCCAGATGATGTTGTTGTTGTGATCTGCTGTCTACCTGTGAGTTGGTTTCCCCCATATGCTAGCTGTTGCCTTCCATTCACAGGGGTTCTTGCAGTCTGGAGAGTGTTGGTCCTCTGAAGTAATGGATTCGGAACCGTTGATACACTTGGTATAACTCTTCCGCGGAAGCTGTTATTCACAACCGATTTACTTTGATTAGACACTGTGGAGGTTGAAGTAGGTACTGCTCTCAGAAACTTGGTGGGACCGTTTGCAACTTGGTGCTCGGAATCCTTCAAGCCGACTCTAGTGTCAACAGCTTTGACAGCTTTCTGGTATTTTTCTTCTTCCTCTTTGTGCTTCTTCATAAGGTCATCGTACTCCTTCACTTGTTTATCCCATTCTGCGTAGACCTTTTGCTGACTCTCAGACAGCTCTTCGTCTGCACAGATTAGGTTGATGAGAGGCTCGGCAGAGACGCCTGCTGCTTGTGGTTTCAAAATGGAAACCATGTTCACCGGCCCTTCTGTTGCACGATCTGTAGCAAGACAAAAAGGAGAATTAAATTTTTTATCTCCTCAAATATAAGGTCACTCAACTTAAATGTAAATACATTAATGTTATCTGGATACTTGATTTTAAAACAGGAATTTGAAGAAGTTTAGCTCTATTTCATAAACATTTTAAGACTTTGTGTCAGACAATATTATAAAGGACAAATGATGACGTTTAGTGCTACTTGATGTGATGCGTAGTTTTCATTCAATAAAACCAAAGGCAAAAGCGATAGCTTATTTTGTTCAGCATCCCGACATCTAACCCCCATCATGTAATATTGACGGAAGGGTGACCATTATTGTGTGTGTTACTGGTAAGGTAGGACAATATTTCATAAATCTGTTACCAACAATGGAAACAGTGACTTACAATTACTTTGTCACTAAATTTCCTGTTAAGTTAGATAAGGAATTATCTATATGTTACAATTTGTTTCTATTAATTTCAGTAATACAAGAAGAAGTACAAGTACAAAGATTGAGAAAATGGAGATATGAAAATGCACAATAGTCACATAGAATAGTACATGTAGCTTTAATACAGTCCAATTTTTCGAAATGTTTGTAATATACATGTAATCACATACAGCAATCAAACAAGAACTACATGTACAAGGCTGCAAAAGAGATTTTTACTGCAAACTTATTTTTTTCCCTAATTTTTTGGATCCTCCGACAGGCCATTTTCATTGAAAATTAATCTCTGAATAACATATTTGAATACATGTACAAATGAATATCATATAATAATTCAGAATAAGAAACATGTATACATACGGTAATGAATATCAACCATAATAAGCGATTACTGAATTACTGATTACCTTACTGCATATTGAAAATAATAATACTGTATATACAGAAAATAATTTTTTTTTTAAAGCAATATATAATGACTGAAAATTATTTGGGAAATTCAATGAAATAATACTTTAACAATCAAAATCCTCTCAAAATTAATCTGTTTTTTAATCAAATTTGTCAGTTTTGTTAGAAAGTATACTAACTTGCCTCTCATTTGTGTAACTATTCCTGATATATTGTTTTACAAATTACTAGCAGGACCCGCGGAAATCTGCGGGATTCTAGAGGGGGGGGGGGGGGGGTGTATATAGACTGTATATAGACTGACACCATAAGTGCCCGATCCAATGCTAGTTATTCTTTAAGCCCCTTTTACACTGGATCTGCATAGGGTTGCATAGTGTGGCGTACCAACTAAGCAGGGCTGCGTATAAATGAAAAAACGTTGCTTCAACGTAGTCCTTGCGTAGGTTATGCATAGGCTGGCGTACGATGGCGTATGGTTACATACCCTGTCCATAGGCACCACGTCACTCTACGTATGGCCCGGTGTGAACGGGGCTTCAGATACCGACAGTAATAACATATAGCTGCATTACTATCCTGGCCCTGTATTAAAATCTGTTTACACAACCTCAATTGATTCTCAACATTTTAAACACCAAATTTTGTACAAAACTCAACTGATTTAACTCAAATTGGTACTGAAGTGACAGTTGGAACCGGTGGACTATTTACACTCAACTCGCTTCGCTTGTTACGATCAACCTGATCCCCCCACCCCCTCCCTCCACTTTGAAAAAAAATGTTTCGCAGGGCCTGCATGTAACATGTAAGAGTGGTGCATGGCGATGCAGATTATTTTTTTCTCCCCCCCCCCCCTCCCCCCAAACGATTTTATGGTACTTCGGCATGCCACTTTTGTGTTCACTGATACTTCAATGGATGGATAGACATATAATCGTATAGCTGTACGAATATTGGCATGCTTGGCCCTCCATAGTCTCTTCGACTCTATTAGCTCACACACAGCACAGTCAAATTCCGACAGCAGCTACACTACACTGTACATGTACAGTGCGTCCCAGAAAAAACGAAACCGAGATTTATCGATGTTTTATTATAACTTGGTCACAATTATAATTGATAAATGACACATGTTTGGACAGCTTAGATCCTCCTCTTTCATTTGACGAAACTCATATAATGCATACTTCACGCATGAGTGATTAAAATGAATTTGAAGAGAGGAAACCAACAAGTCATTTGGCCGACGATATCTGAATTTCAAAGAGAAAATCACATTTCTAGACAGTTGAGTTTGTGCCCTTTCATATGACACCTTAGTTAGGAAAAATGAGCTAGGAATAACAAAGTTCTGTTTGTTTAAAGTGGTGCTTGCATTTCCATAATTTCATTAAACAAATTCGTTTTCACTGGCTGCCTGCCGTAGCAACCAACGGAATTAACAAAAGACTTAACTCCGTTTCGTTGACAATCAGCCATGCATGAAGTCTTTCGTCTACACATGCTTTCCAAACATGTGTCATTTATCAATATTAATTGTGATTAAGTTATAATAAAACATTGATAATTCTCGGTTTCTTTTTTTCTGGGACGCACTGTATAGTACGTGTGTTGACTCACGGCAGCTTGCAACTGAACTGTCAGTCACGATGATTTTCTCTGATTGAATAAGATGTGCTGCATCCTCAGGTGCAGCCTCCTGTGATGCAATGTGGTTTGCATGGTGGATTGGTTCGGTGCTTGGGCCAGACCCCTCTGTTTGATTGAGATGTGCTTCATCCTCAGGTGATGCGATGTGAATTGATGGATTTTTTGTTGTGAGGGAGAATTGCAAGTTTCTGCGTCGCTCCCGCATCTGAAAGAAATTAAAAGAACAACATTATTAAAATCAATTGGGAAATATGCTTAAAAGGGACTAAAATAAAAGGATTCCACGCCAGCTCCAGAGTTGATTTTTATTGTCATTGTGATGTCTTTATTCATGTCATGAGATTGAGAATGAGAGACACATTTATTAACAGGAGCAGGCTAGAATGGTTGCACTGGGTCATGAAACTACAGGTAAACAATACAAAACATGGTGTAACATTGCGAGCAGAGAAAGTGAATCCTGTAACAAAATTTTAATGTAATTTTGCGTTGCGAGCAAAGGGCGGAGCTGGAAACTGCTAAATATGATAAGCTCACTGATTTTGGTTTGCTTTTAAAAATGACCAAGCGATGAAGGCTGAAACATTAGTAAAGGGACTAGCAAAACGGACGGCGCTCTTTGCTGTGGCAGCCATATTGCGTTTGTCCGTGGCATCAAACTTTTCAGCCTTTTCAGCCGTTCAATATTTGGGCTAGTATCAGAAACAGTACAGTTTGTACCCTTTCTTGCATGTTTGTTTAAATGTAGTGCTTGTATCATGAAACAAAAAATTTGTGTCTTTTCAAGCTATAATTAGAGTTATATGTTGCTTGTATATAAAAATTAACAATTTGTGTCACAGGTCCCATCAAGCTATTACCTTTTTGTTTTGGTTTTTGGGCTGCCACAAAAATTGGGGTCTTATACACAGGTGAGCGTCTCATACACGGAGATATACGGTACTTGGCTATTTTTTTGCTTGTATCACAAAATGAACAATTTGTGACACATTATTGGTCTTTGTGCCAAATTATGTTCTTGTATCACAAACTGCACAATGACCTCTAAATTTAGTGTTTGTACCATAAAGAGAACAATGTGTATTCTTTCAAACTGTAGTTTAAGCTATTTTAGATGATGCCCTCCCCCCCTCACTCCCTGCTTACACAATTTACAAAAAACACACCCCGCCCCGCGGCAAAGCCTTTAAACAGACGGAGACACACATATTCACTCAAACACCAACATTGAGACACACCCACATTTGTTACGTGCTTCATCTTCCTCTTCCTTTGCCCTGGAGTTGTCAGATACTTCCTCCTCTTTTTTTTCTGTAAAAACAATGAGATAATGGGACATATCAACCTCCCATGCATGAAAACAACATTCATATTTTTTCTGCAAAGTTATCAGGGATCCTCTATATGTGCACTTTAATTGCATTTTATGAGACTGTATTGTCCAGCTTAAAGCTAAACTTTAGTACTGGTAATGCGATTGCATTGTGAAAGAAATGGTGTGGGAAGGATCAGAAACAGTTGATCATGTAGCATGTAAGTATTGGTGTGCACTGCAAGGTTCTGGAGTCATCAAAATCATAATAAATTTGACCTAGTCTTGGTAAAGTAACAAGCACTCACATAGAAAGCTATATATGGGACAACACACATGGTGTCGGGGCTAGTACTACCTTAATTTCCTTGTCTTTCCATGCTCATTACTCAGCCAGTATACATTTTCTTCCAAAATTGTTTGGCACATTACATGTCATTTATTTGTAATCTTGAACATTCAGTGCAAGTTTCGTTTGATTCTGTGAGAATTATTTTTTTTTTTTTTACCAGTACTGGAGTTTATCTTTAAGGGAACATAATGATGACAGAACAAATAAACTATTAACCTCAAATATATTTGTTATTATTTACTAATAATTGAAGTGATTTTTTGTTGCGCTATGGAAGACACTTTCATTACTACCAACCATTATTATTATTCATTAAATACATAATAAAACTTAAATATTTAAAAACAACCTGCATTGCTCTCACTTTGATACTTTCACTTCCTTGGGGCGCTGATACTGATAGAGATGGTACTTGGGAGGGATTCATCTCAGCCACACATCCATGGGCGCTGCTACAGGTGGTACATGCGATGGGTTCATCATACATTAGTCGTAGAACTCTGTGGCACTGATAAAGATTGACATTTTAAAAATTGTATTTATAATTGATTTCATCATGAAATAAGCTAATAAATATCAAATAAAGACTTAACTAATTTAAATTTAAATATTACATTTTAATTTAAAATATTGATTTTCTTTAATAAAAAAATGCAAATCATTATCCTGAATACTGTAACCTTATTAGTAGAATTATACTCTTTCACAGTTTTGGTGATATAAACATACATATCATTTTTTGTTAGTTAGGTGATCCCCACTAATGTCTGCTATATTTGGAAATACAATTCACTTATAAGTTAGTGCTGGAAATACTGACAATGTCCCAAGTGGACGCAATTCCTAGTCGTGTGTTAGTATTTGTATTTTACAGGGGTTTTCCGTAACAATTTCGCTACACCAGAATTTAACAGCACCACACCAGAATTCGTCGCAACAGTGATATGCAAGCGAAAAGCGCAGTGTTTCTGTGACCGCGCAGACTCTAATAAATAAAGGGGCACGCAACGTGCATATGATAAGAATTGCTAAATTCTGGCGCAAGTGTCAAACGCAAGAACACAGATATTCCTTCCGATTGAATAAATAAATCCGTTAATAATATTCAAGCTTATTCTTAAATTGAACGTCTGATTATGGCCATTACAATGACACAAAAACAAAGGTGATTTAAAAGTATACAACCCATGTACGTTGACATAGAAACTGTCAACCGAACCTCATAACGCAAGCTCATAATTCAGAATTGCCACTGACGCGTGTTGTCTCGTCCATAAATTATGACCATTTAATTTTGATGACAAACTATAAGCAGTACATATTTTGAAAAAGTGGAAGTGTATGCATAAGTTGATCAATGGTCTGCAGCACTGCATCAGGACATAATCGTTAACTACCAGAATTAATACGGTATAACAACGCGACGGTACATAAATCATTCTGACTACTGATTCCAGAATCTCAGAATCGTCAATCAAGTAACTACAAAGATAGAAAAAATTGTATTTTACTGCTATTTAGGTGTCATCAATCGTCACTCAAGTACCGATTTTGAGTGAAATCAGTTGTTTTATATACAGTGGTGTTTGAAATGTTGAGAATCAATAGCACAGCTAATAATACATAGCCAGGATAGTAATGTACCTATGTGTGCCTGGGCACATGAACAGCACGCTGGTCCCTTTCAAAGAACTGCGATTTATATAGATTTTATGGGTAAATTACTAAATTAGGTGGATAGGAATTCATTAATATAATTATGCTTACCTCTAATCTCTGTGTTAAGACGTAGACGGGATGCAAATGGGTTTTATACACTGGGTCCGAAACTCTCATGAGAAAAATGCCTAGAATCACATCTACAGACAGTTTTGTGGCTTCACGTTGATCTACGGTAGATCATGCAAAGGATTTTATTTTTGACGCATGTCGCATACATCATCACGTACACTCATGGCCTGCTGAAGTGCATATAGCAAGACGCCTAACACAGTGTACGCAGAGCTGCCAACCTTGTGCGACCAAAAAAAGGAATCATGATGGCAAAAAAAGGAATACATAAAAACGAAACTTACAACCACCACGCGGACACACTTCTAATGCAGAAATGTTCATTCATCATGCTGTTTTTTCCATACAAGCAAGTAATTTTTTTTGGTGGTTATTTTGGTATTATCGGTATTTCTTTTTTTTTTAGAGAATATTTTTCTCTTCAAGTATGTTTAAAAATTAGTTTTCTATTGAATTTGTGATCAAATCACCATTTTAGGGCAGTTTTTGATGCGCGGTATGTACAAAAAAACAAACAAAACAAAAAATTATTAATTTTTTTTATTTTTTATTAAAAAACGTATTTTATGAAGAAAAACGTAATACCGTAATTTGGAGGGAAAAACGGAGTAATTCCGGCAAAAACAGAATGGTTGGCAGCTCTGTATACGCCCAACCCCTTGCATCGTGTATTTACTACAGCCATCACGTGAGTAGATCGTCATTTGCTGTGTACTTCTCTGGCCTGCCTGTGCTGCATATCATATAGCAAGATTCCAACACGGGGTAAGCTGCAACCGTTAGACCGTGTATCTACTACGCCCGTCACAGCGAGTGGATTCTCGTCTGCCGTGTGTCTCTCTCTGTCTCTCTTCGATTGGACGGAGGGCGGGTGCAAGCCTTGCCGCCTCGCTCTCGCGGGTTTGCAATCTACCGCGCCCGCCGTGCTCTCGTCAGCCCGTCCTCCCCGGAACCCCGAAACTGCGCATTGCACGGGGACGTGGCCCAGGATGCAGATTAAAACGCTGTCCGTCCGCGAGACCGCCCGGCAGCGACCAAGGGCGGGCGGGAGGGGAGATTTGGGCAAGCAAACACCCTCCGATCATTTGAAAGAATATGTTTTGACTAATACGTGATGATACAAATTTTGCCGAGAAACCGCCTACTAATCGATATATTCTATTTGGACCTGATAGATATCGCGCACGTGTCGAATAGTCCCATATACATCTTTCTGTGTTCAGAGCTTGAAAAATTTGTGATAAAAAAGCGTACTTTCTGCATCAAGTGTCTACGCCGAAAGTACGCAAAAAATAGACATGTCGGCGTAGTCGATACGCAACTCTCTGTATGGCCCGGTGTGAAAGGGGCTTCAGATACCAAAAATTATCACACATAGCTGCATTACTATCCTGGCCGTGTGTTAAAACTGTTTAGGACGACCACAATTGATTCTCCACATTTCAAACACCACTGATTTCACTCAAAATCAGTACTTTACCCTATCTAGACCGGGGGGGGGGGGGGGGGGGGGGGGGGGGGGGGGGGGGGGGGGGGCTTTAGAAGCCCCCCCCCCCTCTACATTTTTGTGATAATTTTTTAACGCAAGAAAATCTTGCACTGAAATTTTATGACTTTTTTCTTTCGAGTCTTGCGCATCTTTTGAAAGAAATTTTTCAAAAATCGACCTACCATTACAAAGTCACGTGTCCTTTTGTCTTTGCATGTCAGCCCGAAAATCGCTCATTTTTGTGATTTGTGTACAAAACATATGAAATCTCATTTTTCAAATAAAGAGATAAAACATTAATATTTGGTCTTGTTTCTAGTTTAGGTATTTATTTTGGGGTCAAATAGTTGAATTATAGTTGGAAAATAAATAAAACAACAAAAACAAAAAATACATTAGTTAAAAAACAAAGAAATAGGCCTACATAAGAAATTATCAAAACAATCGATAACATAAGGAATAACCTGGTTCTTTTCCCAATTTTTTGGGCTGTATTATTATCCAAAATGGTCTAAATAATATAGTCTATGTAGTGAAAATTAATGTTAAAATATGAAGAATATATGATTTATGGATAAAAATGTGAATGTTATTACCGTATTTGCATAAATTACCATAAATTATGCAAATGAGTGAATTTTTCAAAAAAATTGAAATTACCATAGTATTCTATACACTTGACTTGACATGCATGCAAATTTTTGCGGCGATAGGTCGTTTCACTGCCGAGATCATAAGGGGGGGGGGGGGGGGCCTTAGAAGCCCAGGTGGCCGCTGAATGCTTACCTTATCTGACCGTAATTTATTGCCTTAAACCCCCGAGCTTCTGGGGTCGGATAAAGTATCAAATGTATTTATTTGACCGCAGGCGCGTAGCCAGGGAGGACGGTGGTGGGGTTGCTCAAAAAAAAATTGCCGGACCCCCCCCCCCCCTAAAATAAAAAAAAAAAAAGGAGAAAAGGAAGAGAACGTAGGAAGAATAAGGAGCAGACAAGGAACATCTTTGAAATCCAGACAAGGATTAAGAGTAGAGAACGGTACAACGTATCGTTTTCTTTCTCTAATGATTTAAAAATGAAACGCAAAAGCTTTCACGCTTCGCGCAGGAGGGGGGGGGGGGACCTGAATTCAGACGAGAATTAAGAGTCGAGAACTGTACAACGAATCATCTTGTTTCTCTAAAGATTTTATAAAGCGTAAAAGCTTTCTCTCTTCGAGTTGGAGGGGGTGGGGTGGGACTGAATTCAGACAAGGATTATTTTTGAGAACGTTACAACAAATCGTTTTGTTTTTCTGATGATTTAATATTAAAAAGCATAAAAGCTTCCACGCTTCGCACAGGAGGGGGGTGGGACTGAATTCAGACGAGAATTAAGAGTTGAGAACTGTACAACGAATCGTCTTGTTTCTCTAATTTAATGAAACGTAAGACTAAGAGCTTCCGCATTATGCACAGGAGGGGGAAAACTGATTTCAGACGAGGATTAAGAGTCGAGAACTGTACAACGAATCGTCATTTCTTTAATGATTTAATGAAACTTCAAAGTTTCTGCGTTTCGCGAAGGAGGGAGGGGAAAAATCACCCTTTCCTGCACCCCCCCCCCCCCCCCTGCATTACATCACTGCTGGTCACCATTACCCATAGGGTCTACCAATATTTGGCTCGCATAATTTTAAATTTGGCCCCCCCCCCCCCCCCCCCCCCCCCCACTAAGAAATCCTGGATCCGCGCCTGCAAGCGCCTGTTTTTATTAGGGTCAAATTTGGATACATTTCTGAACAAGACCTAGGTCTAGATCTAGATTTATATCAACTGCTTTCCACGCACTGCACTGTGAGTCGAGCTAGCCCGCCACTGAAGCCAGCGCCAGCTAAGCTGGGTTTCGTTGGACCCCTTGCGCTCTGCTCGCCTAGCCAGTCAAGTCAGCTCAGTCGACCTATTCCACGAAACCTGCGCCAATTCACCATGTTCATTGTTCAACTTACCAAACAAAACAAGCCGTGGAAGACACTGGCTGTGTGACCCGACGTACGAACGTTAAATAATGTGCGTTTTTTTCACGATTAATAAGGTTACCAGGAAAAGTTCAGCGTTCCGATGATCTTGCCGACGATGTAGTGCAGGCAACTTTCGAGAATAAAATGGCGGGCCATCGCTTAAACCGCGGAAAAAGACGCGACGCACGACGTTCCCGAGCTACCATGTACATGAATGACGCCCGAGCCCGCCCAATATGCTTGAAAGTCGCACTCATTGGGTTCGAAAGTAGCCAAACATTTGTTAATGTCGTCTCATGTCTAGTAAGTCCATGCATGGTCTCGTATCGTAGAGATCTCTATGTGTCGTCTACACTTCCACAGATCGACGCTCTGAGAGAGAGAGAGAGAGATAGCTCTCTATAGGCCTAGATCTATAGACGAACGTGGCTTTATTATCTGTTTGGTTCAAAAATTACAAACTAGAAAGTATAAGACTACTCCTTTACTGCCGACTTCTTTTTTTTTGACAGATGAATAAATAAGTTTTTCCCACTTGTTTACACTAAAACCTTTCAGATTAATATTAATTGTACATATGCACCATGTTGTCTCATGCACATACCAGAATTATTGAGTCCCTTAAATTTTTTAGATCGCTAGATGGCCAATACATGTCTGTATGTTGTTAATATACTGGTGTCCATGCAGCACTTGTTATTCTTGTGTTGATCAAGCAATTTCAATGGTCTTCAATTGTCACGGTGAGCGATTTGAAAAATTCGCGAGCCAGAGGGTGCAGATGGGCTTGAAAGACGCCCATGCAACCGCCCATAATGTACGTATCTACATGCGAGCGAGAAGGCGTGGCGCGCGCGCGCGCGGCGATAATTTTGTCTCGGCCGAATTTAGCCAGCTGCATCATTATTTTATTCTATGCAGATGTGGTCGTAGTTCTTTGTACGTAACGTACCGTGTGGAGGCCGTGTCCATGATCATCTATGGCTTCTTTAGTAGGCTAAGGTTAGGAGCCGTGGGGCGCGCGGGGGGGGGGGGTGGGGGGGGGGGGGGGGAAGGGTGGGGGGGGGGGGGAAGTATCTGAGTCCCACCCCGGGCCCCCCAATTATTGATACAGATCGAGAAGAGAAGATACCCGGTGTGCCTCGCTGAGCTGGCCTTCGGCCCCAATCCTAAAGATCTTCCTAAGCCCATAGTAAGGCTTTGTATTTACAGTGCGTCCCAGAAAAAACGAAACCGAGAATTATCCATGTTTTATCTAACTTAAAGGTACTATGTCCCATTTGCAGGCCAAAAAAAAATGAAAAGTTTAAATTCCAAAGGCATTTAATGAACAAGACTAATTTAGAACTTCCCTAAAAAAAAAAGGAGCCCAGGTCGAAATTCCAGTAGAAACCAGTAGAAACCAGTAGAGACATTCTAATGGTTATACTGGTTTTCCAGAAACCAGTAGAGTCATAATGGTTTCAGGAGGAACTGTGAAGTAAAACCAGTATAAACCTTTACAAACCAGTAGACTCTAATGGTTTGAAGACCAGTAGAAACCAATAGAAACCAGTAAGATCTAATGGTTTGAACATGGGTGTAAAAATCCTAAGTCAAACCATTAGAATCCTTAACAAACCAGTAGAGCCTAATGGTTTTAAAAACCAGTTGAAACCAATAGAAACCATTAAGATCTAATGGTTTGAACATGAGTGAAAAAATCATAAGTCAAACCATTAGAAACCTTAACAAACCAGTAGAGCCTAATGGTTTTGAAGACCAGTAGAAACCAATAGAAACCATTAAGATCTAATGGTTTGAACATGAGTGAAAAAATCCTAAGTCAAACCATTAGAAACCTTTACAAACCAGTAGAGCCTAATGGTATTGAAGACCCGTAGAAACCAATAGAAACCAGGAAGATCTAATGGTTTGAACATGGGTGTAAAAATCCTAAGTCAAACCATTAGAAACCTTTACAAACCAGTAGAGCCTAATGGTTTTGAAGACCTGTAGAAACCAATAGAAACCAGGAAGATCTAATGGTTTGAATATGGGTGTAAAAATCCTAAGTCAAACCATTAGAAACCTTAACAAACCAGTAGAGCCTAATTGTTTTGAAGACCAGTAGAAACCAATAGAAACCATTAAGATCTAATGGTTTGAACATGAGTGAAAAAATCCTAAGTCAAACCATTAGAAACCTTAACAAACCAGTAGAGCCTAATGGTTTTGAAGACCCGTAGAAACCAATAGAAACCATTAAGATCTAATGGTTTGAACATGGGTGAAAAAAATCCTAAGTCAAACCATTAGAAACCTTTGCAAACCAGTAGAGCCTAATGGTTTTGAAGACCCGTAGAAACCAATAGAAACCAGGAAGATCTAATGGTTTGAACATGGGTGAAAAAATCCTAAGTCAAACCATTATATAAACCTTTACAAACAAGTATTTTAGAGCCTAATGGTTTTGAAGACCAGTAGAATCCAATAGATCTAATGGTTTTAACATGGGTGTAAACATTCTAAGTCAAACCATTAGAAACTTTAACAAACCAATAGAGCCTAATGGTTTTGAAGACCAGTAGAATCCAATAGATCTAATGGTTTTAACATGGGTGCACATTCTAAGTCAAACCATTAGAAACCTTTACAAACCAGCAGATATATATCGAGCTCAGTGGTTCTGAAACCAGTTGAAACAAAATTAATATTAGAAACCAGTATATGATCATTCTAGCACCGCCTCTTGATCAATCTAACTTCTTTTTTTTTTATTTAAGCCCAAAACAGCTAGGGGTGAAAAACTCTCGAATTGCATTAGTCATTATATTAATAGTTTTATTTTACAGATTGTGCAACATCTTGACATGCCCTATAAGGTCTGCAATATTGATCAAGACTACGAGCCCCAAAACCCCCAAATGCAAATGCGACTCCCGCCTTTTTTGAACGGGTACATACAGCATGGCATCCCTCTGTGCTACACTATAGCACTGTACTGTGTGTCAAGGCATGCAGTGTGTGCGTACAACCAGCCAGCTGCCATGCATGCCGTATGAGACACACACAAGACAGCAAGACAGCCATTCCTATCAACAGCTACAGGAGCCAGAGCAGAGACAAATCCTTTTATTACTTTGTTTTCCCCTGCTATTCTTCAATATGGGTAAGTTTTAGATTTACCTAATTTATTTGCAATATGTGCAGTAACTGTTTTCTGTTTTGAAACGTAGTAATGTATGATTGTGAACTAGTAGAAGTAGGAGTGCTTTCAACGCCTGCCGCCAAGATGAGAAATGTATTGTATTGTCCCATCTATCTATTTTCATGTTAGATCTTGATGGAATCATCATTCAAAGCAAAGTTTGTGCATTCACCTACACATGGCTTTAAAGGCATCGTTTAACAATGTTAAATCTGAGATGCATGGCCCTACGTATCATGCAGTGTCAGTGATATGGTGTAATATTGAAGCCCTGAAAAATTTCGCTTCAAAATGATCATGAATGATGAAGTGCCTCAAAAAGTAAAAATCTTTGACTTTTGAGTGACCGGTTTTACCATACTCATTTTTCCCAATAGACTGTAGTGTTATAAAACCGTTGGGGAAAACGGTTTTTTGAAATTTCGAATTCCAATCATAATCTTGATAATCAGACAGGCGATTGGCTTGTATTAAACGTCATGGGATTTTTTACTGACCTAAAGGTTTAGGCCTAGAGTCTATAATTATGATTGCAGCATGAGCTTAATCCAGGATTTTGTTTCAGAATCTGAGGCAATGTAATTACCGAGTCACTTTAACTCTGCTGTAAACCATGTCAATTTTGAGAATTGAGTGCTTAATTCTTTTTTAAAATAAATAAAGTGCTGCATGAGAAGCATAAACGCCTGATCTGCAAGACTACAGTAGTTTTAATTTTATATAATTTTCTCGTCTTTTTAAAATTTTGATTACATGTATTTCAACGACTTAAGATTTATATTCCTTAAATTCTGTTTTAAACTACTGATTTAAAACACTAGTCAACGCACCCTTTCGCACCCAACGCACTAGTCAACGCACCTTACATTCAGCTGTTCTGGTTCGTGGCTATAACTCACCCCCGTGCTTATCCCGAAAGGGTGTGTTAAGGCGGTACTCGTTCTCAACGCACCCTAATTTCGAGACAAGCGGGGGAGGGGGCTTTAATCTATTTATGGTGTGTTCGCACAATATATACAGAAGCCCTTATCTGGAAATAAACGGCTAGAACCGTAAATGGTAAACAAAATTCTTTACCCACAGGCTGTACGAAGTAAGAAGATTAAAGTAGGCCTACATGCATGTGTGTTGCACGTGCGTCAACCGTTCAATTTGTTTTAACTTTATTTATTTTCTTATTAATTGTAGGCATCTGTTGACATCTTTCGCCAAACAGTGGATTCAAACACATTGTGGCAACAGTATATTGACGTGAGACCATGCAGAAAATGCTACTTTCTCTCAACCTTCTGGATCAGCATTCAGCAGCGTAGCAGCCTCATGACACAGTTGAAGCCTTTATCGGTAATTGGGCAGGTGTACTTGTATTATTTCTGTACATATATTTTTCATTCTTCCATGATCATGACACTGATTAATTAGACATCAAGAATTATTCATTTCATTCGAATAAAATGAGTTTCATATATATATAATTCAATTAATTTCAGATCACTAAAACCTGCAGGTATGTTGCAATAACCGACCATATTTTGTGAGTTTCGAACAGTGTTCTTTTCCCTCCTCAGCAATGGAGCTTTGATTCTTCTTTTATCACCAAACTAGAATTGTATTGATAATTATTTACAAACAAATCCTGAATCATGTTTGCATTGCCAACAAACTTTTAAAATGCAAAGGCATGTTTATATTTTGTTTGTAAGCAATGAGAGATTATTTTATTTAGTACTTTTCAGACAGAATTTATTATTTAATTCATTGTTTACGTTCTAGTTTTAAAATGTATAAACGTTTTTCATAACTTGTTTTCCTTTCTTTTTGCTCTATTGATGCATTAGAATTCTTTGCGTGCATGTACCCTGGATCAAGCAGCACTTGCATTATACAGGAGATTCCACCCAAAATCTAAACCATGAGTCCCAGCTGAAGAGGAATATTTCCAAAATGAGGTCTACACACACAGAGGTTACTTTCCCCTTCATTATAGAGATACAGAGAGAGGGAGAGAGAGAGATGGGGGGGG